CAACATGCCCGTCTAATGAATTTATGTGGCCCGTGATCAATGTTTCAATATTAGATACTGAAGTCTGAATAGCTCGATGAAAAAAAAAATGTCAACAACTCACTGTGCGTTTAGAGTTAACTCTCCATTACAAATCTCGTAAGTACAGCATGGAATGTTGATAAAGCATGATAATGTGAAAAATGTATCTGTAATCTCTGTCTACAATTCAGTCTTTACGGGGTGAAACCACAATGAGATCTCGCACCACCTCAAAATCTTCTTAGGGCAGCCTCTGGTTCGGCCCGTGATAAAAGTTTTTTTCCAATTCGGCCCGGGGCAAAAACTGTTGGCCACCCCTGGCCAAAACTGTAGAGCACATCATTTATGATTGTCATATCTACAAAGTTGAATGCTTTGGGCTAAAGCTGAAAGTTTTATCTTGAGGGTTTGGTTGGCCCTGACCAGTCTGTACTCTTGTATGCAAAGAACTATATGGATATTTCATCATTTTTATTAAAGATACTTTTAGGGAAAAGTGTTTAGCAGCCACCACGAATTCTGGCCATTAGCTAATCATCATTGGTTTATGTATGCATTGTATATTTTATTTTAATTTACTTTTTTTCTTATTTATTATCTTGTATTTGTCCTTGTTGGTGTAAGTTTTTTTGTAATACTCACTCGTTAGTGGTGCATTTAATAAATACAAATAACTGAAACAAACATACCCATTTTTTTAAGTTATTTGTGTTCTAACTAAAGAAGACCTATAAATTAAGGTTGAAAATGCTCTTATTCTATTAAAAACATATTGTTGAAATTAAAAAGTTAGGTTTTTTTCTTTTAGCAAAATAATGAATACCATATTTTATTTATCTATATAAATTTATTTCTGTTTTATTAGTTTGATTTGATAAAACTAATAAAACAAAAATAAACTTATATAGATAAGTGAAATATGGTATTCATTATTTTGCTAAAAGAAAAAAACCTAGCTTTTTAATTCCAACAATATGTTAAATACACTCACTGCCAAAAGTTAAGCACGGAGCAATAAACTGCAAAAAAATCGAAAAATACATCTGTGATTGACACAAAATGTGGCAGGACAGTAGCAAATATGTTCATGCATGAAACAACACAAAGAATTACATAGAAAAATGAAAACAATATTGAATTTTCATAAAGCATAAGATGAAATCATATTGGAATCATTAATAAAATGATGTTTAAATGCAAAACAAACAAACAAAACCCACATTAATAGGGTAAATGGTCACCCCTTATCTTTACACAAAGTTTACATCATGTAACCATGCTTTCCATGAGGTGATCAACCACTCCAGAGTCAAATAAGTTTCATTCCTCCTGTAGAGTAGTTTGCAACTCTGTGAGAGTGTCAGGGGGTGGGAAACGTGCACACACAGCACGGCCGAGGGCATCCCAAAGATTCTCAATGGGATTGAGGGCTGGCAAATACACCGGCCAATCCATACCCGCGATTCCCTCTCTCTCGAGGTAGTCGTCAACGAAGGCAGCTCTAGGGGGTCATGTGTTATCATCCATTAAAACAAAAGCAGGACCAACTGCTGCAGCATACAATTTCACAATAGGTTTGAGGACTTCATCCCGATACCGGACAGCAGTTACAGAACCCCTTCGATAGATGTGCAGGTCGGTGCAATATCCCAACGAAATGCCTGCCCATACCATAACACTTCCACCTCGGAATGCGTGATGCTCGATAATGTTCTGAGGTCAGTTGCGTGTGCCTTTTTCTCTCCATACTCTTACACGTTTGTCATCTGGCTCCAGGGAAAATCGCGACTCATCCGTGAACATAACGTTGCCTCAATCAGACACAGTCCAATTCGCATGTTGCCGACACCACTTTAATCATGTGCCTTTGAATTGGACAGATAGTGGAACACAAACTCGTGGTACCCGGGCATACAGTCCGTTCATGTGTAGCCTTCGGCGCACAGTAGTAGCAGATATCGTTTTACCAATAGCTGCAGCAATCATCAATGTCATACGTGTAGAGGTTGCTCTTTGATTCCGCTTGGCTACAACAGCAATATAGCAATCTTCTGCAGGGATCGTAACTCTTGGGCAACCAGCCACAGGTCTTCGGACAACTGTTTGGCTTGTTTGGAATTGTTTCCATAACCGTGAAATGACAGAATGATGAACACCGAAGAAAAGAGCAACATCTGTGATTGATTGTCCTGTTTCAAGGCGTCCCATACACAGCCAGTGCTCACTGTCTGTCATTCGTCCTCTGGAAGTCATAGAAACACATCAGTCATGCACACTAATTGTACGACAGTTCTCCACACTTTTTCTCGGCACTTACATGCAACTCCTCTCCCACTTCAGAAGGCTGGCTTCTTATACGACTGTGTGTTTTGCATATTTCGCGACACGTAATCATGATTGATAGTAACATAACATATTTGCATACTTCCACCTACCTCTGCAGTGAATTGCAACCTCTCAAATGCAGATTGCTTTCCAAACATGAACATTTTCTGCTCTGTGCTTAACTTTTGGAAGTGAGTGTATAAGAATTAAATGACTTTTCTATAAAAGTTCAAAGAAAAGCTTTTTCTTTAGGAGTTAGAATTAGATATTTTACAAAGAGTATGTATCTGTTATATTAAATTTTACTTGATTTAAATATTGTGACGACAAGATAAAATGGATTATTAACTGCAAAAACTGTACTGATAAATACTGTATGAAGATACAATCAGATATATTTTTAGTTAAAATTCAAGTTTTTGTAATAAAATTTGTAAAATTTGTCAGTCATGAAGATTCAGACTTGTACAAAGTTACTATATTTTGATTTGTGTGGACATAAACTGTAATTCTGTTGTGACATTTTATAAAAAGTTTGTAATTAAGTTGTTGTTTTCTTTACAAATTTCTCATTAAACCCAAATTTTTTAAAAGTTTTTCCATAAGACATATTTAATTGACATATTATAGTTTTAAATATGTATAGACATGAACTAGAAATAAAGTAAAATTTATTATCATCATACTCTAACCCTCTAGAGTTTGACTTCCAGATTCGGAGTTGGTGAATACCAATTTACCAATAACTCGAGAGTTAAATAACACTAACTCTAACTGGTGTCAGTGAATACTGGGGTAAATGTCTTAAGTGTTATTTCTAGGACTGAGATCAAAATTTGTGCTGTTTCCAAGATATGATATAAATATCAATTAGAAATTTCATTAACTCGGTTTATCCTACTGTTGACTAGTTGTTCTGATAGTAAATCTGCATGATGTAAGAGTTTGGACGTTCTGTACGGGTGCTTGGTTGTCCATCCCATGATACACAAGATACTGTACTTTCTACATTGCACGAGATTAAAATTCTATGCCAGTAAATCGCATTCTTTCCAGCCGAGACACCGGTATCGTATATGCGCTTGGCCTCAATATGATATTAATTGTGATAGTATTGTCAGTTCATACATCTTGGAGAAAAGATTATGATGACGAAGCATATATTCCTCCGTTTCTATAATACATTTTACACTATGATATAAGTAAGTAAATTCTCTACATAGAACCTGTGCACAGTACTTACTGGAGTATTTATATTTAATACAGCAGCTATCATACTATAATCTATTCATAGTTGGTTGCCTTTAATAATTTTATACAAAAGCATTAGATTCTGCACGATCTGTTGTATAGAGATGGAAATTTGTAATAAGAATTAAAGAATTTGTATCACAGAACAGTTAGTTCTTTTCGAATTTGAGCACCAGAGTTTGCTTTATACCAGATATGTTGAAGTTATTTTAATTATTTTGTCTTGTGAACTCCATCTAAGAATTCTGTAACAGCTTTAATTTAACAACAAATCGTGTGTTTATTACTCCGCCTCGTACCAGTTTTGAAGTGAGGAATACTTGACAAAGAATCAAAGATTAAAAAAATAAAGTTTCATGCTCATACAGGAATCAATTAATAATGAAATTCTTTAAATGACAACTTTATAAAATTTATATTTCAATCGTTTTTTTTTTTTTTTTGAGCTTGAGCTCAAGCTTGGAGAGTTTTCTCAATTTAGGGTAATTTTCTGCAGTTGAAATTGGTTCGATTGTTTTAGTTAGGGTGCCTAATGTTGATAGGGGACGTGCAGCTCCCAGAAATGTTTTAGCTGTTGTTATGAGCATTAATCCATCAGGTCTCTATCAGTTAGGAAACA